ACTCAGGAACTCACAGACGGTCGGGGACATGTATCCTAACATGTATAATCTATGTACTAAATTTGAATGAAAACTGGCAAAGCATGTCCAAAATACAACATTTTCAAAAAACAAGATGGCTGCCAGTCGGCCATTTTAAATCGAATCGCTAAACCACTGCATGTGCATATGTCCCACATAAAGTACTAGGCACATGCAAAGAATGAACGGAATCGATCCTAGGGATTCTGAGATATGACTCCGGACGGACGCACGGACGCACGGACGGACGGAGACCGAATTATAAGTCCCCGTTTTCGGACTTCGTCCGAACGGGGACTTAAAAATGGCACTGGTCGGCCATTTTGAATCCATCTATATATCTATAACATGATGTAAAATGAATACGGTGACCTATGGTTCTAATAGCGTAGTTAATACATTTGCTGCGTACCTGTGTTACTAACGTTACTGTACATTAGATACTTCTTATCCGAATGCATAGTTTGCCAGAATTTTATCAAGATTCTGATGTCTTCCTTCAATTCTGCCGACGTCTGAGTTGGACATTTAGCCGTGGCACTGTAAATAGAACACGATTTATTGCAACACACAATCAAAATTTACAGAAAATAAAAATAGCAAAAATTGCTGCTTTATAAAGCTAGGCTATATTTTCAACCAAGTTGTGAGTGAACAATTGTTTTATGTAATGTAGCTAATAAAAATACTGACATGATAAACACAATTTCGTCAATCTAAAATATTAGTTTGAGCAGAGAATTTTGAGATTTAAATAATCTAAACCTGATTTGTGGAATTGTGTATCAAGATACAAACAGTGTTATTAAAACTATAAAACAATTTCTGAAAATAAGGAACTTCTGAAAATTTATCAAAAACTTGCACTCTAAGATCATTCCTAAAGTTTTTTGGGGGTCTTAAGGTAGCGGGACTATTATTTGCATGCTTGTTTTCATCTTCTAATTGTGACCAAATGACTACAAATAGACCCAGGAAAGTATATATTTTTAGAATCGCCAGACTTCAAGCTATTCACAAGTGTATTTTGCATGCCTGTATCTGCATTTTACGACGCGTTACTCAATCAAAGGTGAAAAATTACTTTTTTTGTAAAAAAAATAATTACGCATTTATGCTGGTGATAAGAAGTTTTTTTTTCATTTTTCCTAGTTGTTCAATAGTCTGGTAAATTGAATGTGTCTGGTCAGTTTTATTCAAGCAACGCGTTTTGAAAAGTAGTGTCCTGAATTTTAATTTCTGTCTTAGTCGCATTGCCCCCAACTCAAACCACAACACATTGGTAAATAATCCATGAAATAGTTTGTCTGGACACATTCTAGTTCCTCTCATTGTAACCTTAGAGCTGTGAAAATTTGGTGTTAATGCGACGACATAAGTATATGTTATTTTTTTTAAAGACCTTGTATTTTGAAAACATAAACTCCTAGAAATCGTTGATGAGTCACATCACAGATTTTTAAGCTTGTTTATCGGCACAAG